AGCTTCTTATGATGTTGTGTTCCATATATACCATGCACGGTAGCGCAGTGATGAGAGTGAGATCGATAACGTAGATAGGCCGGGGACATTTGTGTCCATACCCAAGGATATGAGATTTTGCGGGTGTCAACAAGTTAGAAGTTTTTGATAGATATACCCACCTCGTAATTAAAATTTGTACTTGTAAGTGAAGGAAATATGCCCTAGAGGCAATAATAAAGTTATTATTTATTTCCTTATTTCATAATAAATGTTTATTATTCATGCTAGAATTGTATTAACCGAAAACATGATACATGTGTGAATACATAGACAAACATATAGTCACTAGTATGCCTCTACTTGACTAGCTCATTAATCAAAGATGGTTATGTTTCCTAATCATAGACATGTGTTGTCATTTGATTAATGAGGTCACATCATTAGGAGAATGATGTGATTGACATGACCCATTCCGTTAGCCTAGCACTTGATTGTTTAGTATATTGCTATTGCTTTCTTCATGACTTATACATGTTCCTGTAACTATGAGATTATGCAACTCCCGTTTACAGGAGTAACACTTTGGGTGCTACCAAACGTCACAACGTAACTGGGTGATTATAAAGGAGTACTACAGGTGTCTCCAAAGGTACATGTTGGGTTGGTGTATTTCGAGATTAGGTTTTGTCACTCCGATTTTCGGAGAGGTATCTCTGGGCCCTCTCGGTAATGCACATCACTATAAGCCTTGCAAGCAATGTAGCTAATGAGTTAGTTACGGAATGATGCATTACGTAACGAGTAAAGAGACTTGCCGGTAACGAGATTGAACTAGGTATTGGATACCGACGATCGAATCTCGGGCAAGTAACATACCGATGACAAAGGGAACAACGTATGTTGTTATGCGGTTTGACCGATAAAGATCTTCGTAGAATATGTAGGAGCCAATATGAGCATCCAGGTTCCGCTATTGGTTATTGACCAAGAATAGTTCTAGGTCATGTGTACATAGTTCTCGAACCCGTAGGGTCCGCACGCTTAAGGTTTCGATGACAGTTTTATTATGAGTTTATGAGTTTTGATGTACCGAAGGAGTTCGGAGTCCCGGATGAGATCGGGGACATGACGAGGAGTCTCGAAATGGTCGAGACGTAAAGATCGATATATTGGACGACTATATTCGGAGTTCGGAAAGGTTCCGAGTGATCCGGGTATTTTTCGGAGTACCGGAGAGTTACGGGAATTCGCCGGGGAGTATATGGGCCTTATTGGGCCATACGGGAATAGAGGAGAGAGGCCGAAAGGAAGGAGGCGCGCAGCCCCCCTCTGGTCCGAATTGGACAAGGGGTGCGGCCCTCTTTTCCTTTCCCCTCTCCCCTCTTTCCTTCTCTCCTACTCCAACAAGGAAGAGGGGAGTCCTACTCCCGGTGGGAGAAGGACTCCTCCTGGCGCGCCCCTCCTGGCCGGCCGACCCCCTCCCCCTGGCTCCTTTATATACGGGGGCAGGGGGCACCTCTAGGAACAACACACAAGTTGATCTATGGATCGTTCCTTAGCCGTGTGCGGTGCCCCCCTCCACCATATTTCACCTCGATCATATCGTCGCGGAGTTTAGGTGAAGCCCTGCGCCGGTAGAACATCATCATCGTCACCACGCCATCGTGCTGACGGAACTCATCCCCGAAGCTTTGCTGGATCTGAGCCCGGGGATCGTCATCGAGTTGAACGTGTGCTGAACTCGGAGGTGCCGTACGTTCAGTGCTTGGATCGGTCAGATCGTGAAGACGTACGACTACATCAACCGCGTTGTCATAACGCTTCCGCTTACGGTCTACGAGGGTACGTGGACAACACTCTCCCCTCTCGTTGCTATGTCATCACCATGATCTTGCGTGTATGTAGGAAATTTTTTGAAATTACTACGTTTCCCAACAGTAAGTGTGTCTCAAAGGAAAGAAAAAACATCATATGATCTTTTTGGATTCCAAATCTTTTTCTGAAACTAACTCTAACGGTCCTCTCTCACCCTCCCCCACCCCTATACTTTGCTTAGCCGGCTTCCACCAAACGTCATCTTCTTGGGTAAACATGTTGTAGAGCATAGGCTTTGGGACACCCCCTTATCCAGCCACTCATTTTTGCATCGCGATTCGTGCGAGTACATTTGTCTTTTTTTTCTCCCATATAGAACAACATATCACCTTCAAACTTGGCAGCTCAACAAAACATTCTTGCTAGAATGTGGGAAAAAACTTTCGGAATTTTTCATGCAATATAAATACTGAAAAGTACATTTTTTAATACAAGAAATCTAATTTCGTATATTTATGTTTGACAAAAAAAATTGAAAGTTTTTTTCCCACATTCTAGTTAGAATGTTTTGCTGTCTTACAAAGTTTGAAGTTCATATGTTGTTTTATTTTGAAGAAACAAAAAAGAAAAAATGTGATGTACCAAAAGTTAGTTGTCTAGTGCGGATCTCAAAGCAATGTTGGAAGATAAGGATAAGGGGTTTCCAGAAACCCGAGCTTTAAAAATCCACGTCTTCTCCATCTTCTTGCCCACTACCTCGCCCTTCCAAAGTTCTCGTTATTGACAAGGACACCTATGTTGCTAACCAGTCTTGGAGGGTATGACCCGCCACATTGCAGGTATTTGCTAAGCTTTGGCTCTCGGCCCCTTAGTATCTCTTGCGAACCAAGAATCATAACACTAAATTAAGTAGTTGCCCGCATTGGAAGAGTAGAGCAAATTAGTAGAAGGCTTCATACTGATAAAAGATACAGAATGAACACCCACAAAAGGAGTTTCTGTCTCATTTAGCAGTCTAGTAAAACTAATTTTGTAAGCCCGAGAAAGAAGGAAAAAAAACACAAACTCCATACCCATGGTCGTGGCGAAATCCGAACAAAGCTGAAAGTGTGGCTTTATTTTGATGAAATGCAAGATTCTTTTTGTAAACATTGTGGAAGTCAAGAGATTGTGGCCATCTCTTCTCGCTTAATAATACGGCCGCATGCATCACTCTTGATGCAGAGACCGGGGGTAATCCTCCTTCTCCAAAAAAATATTTCTTGTCTCTCCCAGCTAGAGAGGCATGGGTGCACCTGATGCATAAATTCACCCTTGCAATACATGCGTTCTCTCCTGACCAAGATTTTGGCTACCTAATCCCACTTTTTTCTAGAGGGGCAGCGGGATTCCAAAATACGGTAGTAACCGCAAAAATCCAGATATATCCCGATGAAAAGATTTCAAGCAAAATTTGGATGCATTTTTTTAACTTTGTTAGAGAGGTGTTGAATTTTCAATATACAAACATATAGTTGTGCACTTAGCACTGATGTCGCCTCTCTGTTGAACCTATGTTGCAAGGTGGCCCTTTGGGAACCCAGCGGCTGCTTAATCTTTTTTCGAATTATACCATACTAAAAAGATAACAAAAATGCGAGGCTGGGAGTCAAATATGCAAGTTTAAATACATTTGATGCTCAATTTATCTATACGTGAATGTTCAAATTCAAAAATTCAAATATATTTGTTATATTTTCTACATTACGTGTGTTTATTGAGGGGTGGCAAAAAACACATACGGCCGAGCGGTAACCGAATTGTGGGCCAAGGACAAAAACACCGGATTCAAAAGGGTGGGACAATTAGCACCCCTTGCGTGTTCCAAGCATCACTATTCCAACACACAAGATGGCCGGTGCCCGGCAAAACAAAAATATATTCCCATGGTTAAAATCCGGAAAGCAATGTACACCACTAACACCATGTATGCATGAGGCTTGATGTGGTTGTCGTCACAGTACGCCATGTCTAGAACTCCATAATGGTGATTGAGACTTTTTTTTTTCTTTTTTTGCGGGTGTGTTTGAGACTTGTGAATGCATGAAAAGAAAAACGGAAGCTCCCATCGATCTATCATGGAGATTGCTCCCTTCTACTTTGTGCAAGTTGACGGGTGAGCAACAAAGCGGCCGGAGGAGAGGCAAAGCTACGCAGATCTCACGTACAGCAACACAAAGCAGCGGGGAAAACGAAGAAAAATCAAAGACGCGTAGCTGCAATCTTTGGAATTCTGAGCATGAATCACACGCAAGGTTTTGGTTACCGAATGAGGCAATTTTACCGAGGGGGACGGGTAAATGTGGTTACCACGGTTACCGACAAATATCGAGAAATACCGAGAATATTTCGAGCGAATTTTACAGTTGAATTTTGAATTCAAATAAGTGAATGAACGAATATTCGAACCAGAGACCTCTCAAAACAGGAACTAGGTTGCTACGAACATGCCAGAACCAACTCTAATGGCATTAATTATATCCTACGTACTTTACTGTAAATCGAGTGTTTAAATTCAAAAAATTTAAAAAACTGGTATTTTTTGCTCGGTATGGCGATTTACCGAGGGGCACGGAAATACGCGGTAACCATGGGAAATCTTGAAATTTCGACTGGTAACCAAAACCTTGATCACACGGCCGGCCGGAGACCGCCAAGGCAAGCTGTCCGGTCTGGTTGCTTTGGGCCAAACTATTCTAAGGCATCAATCAGCTAGCTTTACCACTTGATTAAAGGAGAGATATTGGCAGTCTGGGACCCCAACCCAACAGGGCCAATCCTAGCCCTGGGATAGCTGCCTTTTGTGACTTAATTGGAATACATACTTCCCCATAAGTTCCTTGCTTAGTTCCACTGTCAACATTCTTGTAGTGCTCACTCCACATGCCTATTTTTTCTCTCCAATATATGCTATTGCTAGCTGCTTTCACATGCTTTATCACGCGAGGAACCAAAAGCTTGATCTTGACATGAGCCGGGGGTGGTTGCAATATTAATTGCATGCTCAGCTTCCGACTATAAATACACCATTGGAGCCTCAGGTTAAAGCCCATGCCTCATTTCATCTCTGTATCCCAGTAACCTACCTGATTGCAAGCCTGAGGCACCATAGCTTGCTACTTATTTCCTTTCATAACCAGCTCGGCCATCTCCAGAACCAAAAGATGAAGATCGGGAAAGCTCCTGAGCTCCTGAAGAAGGCTGCAGCGATGTGCAAGAGCAAGACCACCAGGTTTCTCATCCTTGCCTCGCTCCAGCGTCGTAGGATGGCTACGGCTGCTGTGGTCTCCCGCAAGATCGACACGCTCATTGTGGCCGACTGGGAGAGAGCAGACCGCCACAAGGCTCTTGCGCTGGGCATGGTCGAGAAGAGACCGGTTATCGTCCATGAGAGTGAATTTGAGGCCAATTTCTCTCATCGCTTGGCGATGTTCGGTCAAGATAATGGTCATGATTGCTTTCCAGCTGACCGAACACTGCATCCCCTCTTCAACGAGGACCACGAGAATTGTCGTTACACTGACGATGATGATGTGGTACTTGATTCATGTGATCAAGATGATGACGATGAGCCATCGGTCATGGATGTGATCAAGAGAAACCGAGAAGTTGAAGGGTTGGAGTTCAACATGGAGGAGGATATTGATCAAGCTGCTGATATGTTCATTAGGAGGTTCCGGCAACGGCTGAACGAGGAATTTTAGGGTCTTGTTTGCACATGCATGTGCCTCGGTCTAGCGAGTTGTCTTCTTTTTAGGTGCCAACAAATTAGAAAATTTTGTAGAAATCAATGTGAGTAGGAGTTGATGTTTGATAAACAATGATCCATATTGCCATTTATTTTCAAACAATTTTATCAACATATAAAATCCCTCGGCCTCACCCGACTTTTCCCCTCTACCATTACGTCCACCCACCCTGCACCTCAGAAAGATGACTATATATATGCAGTACTCCTACGAACAGGGCACTTTTCATTGTCCCCTTGTGTTTTCTTTCACTTGAAGTCCCTAAAACTTGTGCGAAAAATGTCCACAATTGACATCAAACGGATTCTATTTAGCGATTCGTTGAACTCCAAGGAAAACCTACATTGGAAGTAGTGCATCGTCGACTCACGACGCTATGACACACAAAGGGCAAATATGCCACACACCTTGCCCTTATCTGCCCCGTGGCAGCTCATTATGGATGAACCCCAGGCTCATTGCCCCCTCGTCCATGAAGCTCATCTGGGAGATGCAGTCACCTCCAGGCCTTGATACCAGCATCTGGCCCTCGGTTTCCATTGTAGTTCTTTGGAAAATCTGGGACTATAGAAATGCTCTAGCCTTCCATGATAAGGATCACTAATCTAGGATAACTACTATTAGAAACTTTGTGCACGATTTGTCCCTATGGATCATTAGGTTTAAAGACATCTCACAAAGGGGCACTGGTAAGTCATGGCAGCTATACCTCTTGGTAAATATGGTACGTGTGATGTTTGAGTGGTAACATATTTAGGTGGGGAAGGTCCCCCCCCCCCACCCCACCCCACCCTGCGCGCCCCCTGTTGATTGTTCAAAGAAGAACAATTGATTCAAATTGTATCCTTTGTATCCTCCACATAGGAAAACTTCACATTGAAAGACCTAGCCTATGAATAAAAAGAGGAAAACTCGGCATTGAATAGTTAGTACTCCCTCCATGCTTTTACAGAAGGCAAATGGATTTGGTTGAAATCGAATGCCAAAAAGTTTGACCAAGTTTACAGAAAAAAGTATCAATACTACAATGCCAAATGAATATCATTAAATACGCAATGAAATTTCGTATTATATCTATCTAGTATTGTGGTTGTTGATAGTTTGCCTCCCAGTAAAATATCAAATTATATCTATGTATAGTGTATTTATAGAAAAAAGTATCAACAACTACGATACCAAAAGAGTACCATTAAGCACACAATAAAATATTATACTATTAAAATCTAACAAGTGTGATCTACTGATAAAGAGATGGTCTACCAGATCAATGACATGTTATTTTTTTTAATAATTTCTGGCTCACCTCTTTGTTTTCTTCCGTCTTGTGCTTTTATATAGTATATGAAAGATGGAGATGTATGCATGCTGCAAATATTTGTTGAGATATTGAAGTACTACAATAATAACAAATAGTGTAAAACATATGCACCAGAGGGCACAACATCTTCTATTTTTCTTTTAGTTTAACTAACACAACAAGAAACACTCGTATATACTCCTGGAACCACCTATTAGGCTGCGGTAAGTTACAAATATGTGCACTATTGAATTATTTAGATAATACTAATATACATGATATAGAATATATAACTTTCATGAAGCTGTGTTGTTGGTAAAAAAAAGCTACCGAATTTCAAGTGATTGATAAAAAAGGTGCATCTTCGAATTGAGAAGTAATACCTCTTTCACATGATGGATTTCAACCTATTTCAGAGCAAGGCCGCATAGTGGACCAGCTCTGCTGCAAAATAAGACTCAATTATAGGAACAGAAACTACTTTATATCACTACATCAATGATACAAAATATGTACATCATATTAACTACTCCTATATATCAATTGAATGAAATCTCCTTTATTGAAAAAAATTATATTAACTACTCCTGACTTCTAAAAAACCATTATGAAACCGAGTATCCTATGATTGCGAACAAAGATAGTGAAAGGGAGCGACTCATACAATATGATATACATATTATCTCGAATTAGTTCTAAACATATTTGTTATGAATGATCAGTTACTTTAATTAAGTGATTGCATCATTGGTTATATACAAATATTTTACTGCACTTTGGATCTTCTCAGGTGGTAACCACCTTTGGTTTTAGACTCTTGCACTTCCTCATAGCCGTGTACTCCTACTGTTGGGTCAGTTGTGAATATTGTATTAATTCAAAATGCCCATGATTTACGGGACTGGGCTCACGAAGGGACCTCACTCATTGATATGTTGAGTAACACATGTGTGAGCACAATATAGCAGATACTAGACCTGAAAAATAAATATAATTCCATTCGGCAATAGTTAATCAACGAAGAGTCAAAGACTTAAACATGAATGCTGCCTCCACTTATTTTCATCTTTGACAATATCTTTTTCTATCAATGAAATGACACTATAGATATGTTTTTCGTCCTCGGACTAATTAGTTATGTACGAAGAGGAAAATAGCATCAATCGCACTAACAACACAATAATCATCTGATGCACCACATGAAGCATTCAGTGCCATATCGGTTCTAATATATATTTTAAGCACCATACGGAAGGAAAATACCTGTGTAGTCTCTTGCTCGAAGCATGGTGCACACCCATATAGCTAAGATAGTGTAGGCGCACTTTATAGGAATTTAGATAATAAATTTGTAACCACTATCAATTTCCAACTCTAACCCTCACCTTCATTCCTCATTATCTCTTTCTCTACGATGGTGCCAACGCCCCCTTCTCACTGCCACCCCCACAACAGGGATGGGGCAGACGACGATGTTGCCTGCAACCTGAGTCATTGCCCGTAGCTGCGCACTTGGAGGAGGGCTCGATCACGCGTGGGAAGGAGAAGGCCCGCCCATGTAAAGTAAGTTTCCATAGCCCATTTTCCTCACACATTGTTTGCATTTTGAAGTCTAAGTGCCTCACCTACATGTAGGCTATTCATGGCTATGAATTAGTGCACACAGAAAGGAAAGGTTGTGAACTACTATTGTTTTGCAGGAAATAATTAATGTTTTATTTCTGTTTACGTGCACTAAACTTAAAAGGCAGAAATTTTTAGATTCGTATGCCCTGTAATATCGTGAGCTAGCCATTGTTCGATCTCAACTCATATTTCAACCAGGCTGAAAAGGATTGTCACACTCAACTTTATTTCTTGAGTGATCCCAACTTGAAACAAAATACGAGTCAAGCTCAAGCGGTTCACGAGATTGGAACTTTTTATTTTCACTCCACGAGAGCATGCATCCATTTCATCCGGAGAGCATTTTAACGGGGCGACTTGTGTGAGATCTCGCATTAGGTGAGATCTATGAGATCGTTTTTTTTAAGAAAGTACATGTTCAAACGTTTTCAAATTCCTCATAGATACTCATCAATGTTTGATGTACAATCTCAAAAAGTTTCAACTCCTAATTAAATTTACATTAATAGAAACAGAAAAGACAAAATCGGACGTGAATAGTGTCAAAGTATTATTCACATTCGAATTTGTGTTTGTGGAATCTCTAAATGTACATAGAGTCTTAGCTGTTTTTGTTTGGAGCTGTAGACATACCTCACAAGAAAGTTGTTCTAATAATTTTAGATTTTTATGAAATGTCTAAATATGATTTATTTTTTTTGAATTGTCTCACGATCTCTCCTAAATGTGATCTCACACCAGTCTTGCCCGCATTGTAACACCAAGACAATGATAACTAACCATGCCTTCTATTTCCAACGAGTCTTTCCTTTTCTTTGAAGCCAAGTACAAACTGGCAACCGGTATAACTAGGCAATTTCTAAGTGGAGGACCGATCACCGAACCCCTCGGATAAAGAATGATGATGCCACTCGCCACATTCATGCATGACTTTAAAGAAATATCTAGTCTGCTGATTCTTCAACAGCCACAAAAACTCTTCACTAGGGCTGACCCCTACACGTTGAAGTTGTCAGCATACGGTTGCCGACGACGGTACTATGGATACATATGAGGATTCCTTAGCGAAGGCTATGCGGCATAAAGCAGCGCAGAACCTCAAAAACCAAGGTTATCTACAGATGTACCGGGACTTTTCGTTTATTGTCCTCTCTACAACGCTGGAGAATCGAGACTTGTTTACGGAGCTATGTACACGATTAAAAGCTACGGTGAGGGATATTTTTACCCAACAGGGATGGCAGCATAATCTTAGGATTAATTGGTCCACCTTCACTTTAGGCGTTATATGGATCCTACATGTTTCTTCGTATCTTGCCTTTTTTTTATTTTTCGTTTGTGTGAGAGGATTTTGTTTGACCATGTGCATCTCAATTATGCAGAGACCGGGTGTAATGCTTAAATATTTTAAGTAATAAAGCGTCCCTTTTCGAAAAAATGAAGTCCTGCCAATGTTGGAGTCATTGTGCACCACTCTTTTATTTTCTCCCTGTCGGGAAAGAAAGCACTTGTGTCGCACTGTGTCTCCGATGCTGCTGTCACAAGTTTCACGCGATCGAGGCCGTGAAAAAAGCCGCTGAAGCTCCCACCCATGGACGCATCCAGGTGCGATTGGTTCTACGTTTGAACGGAGGAGAAGGATTAGAAGAAGCTGCAGCACAGAAGACAATTAATTAACCTTTGGGATTTAACTAAGTGAGACGCACACACGGGGTCGACGAGTGGCGAACTCTCCAGTGTGCGCGTACCTTTACAATCTGGCATTAACCAAACGAAAACTGCCAAGAACAAAAATGACCCGCTCTGGTAGTTTGGTTCCTTTAATTAAAAGCAACATTGGAAATTTGGGATCATAGAGTTATTCTTTCCCCCTCTCACAAGGAAAAAGCCTTCCTTCCCTCGATCTCCACCGACGAGCCCATGAATTCGTCTCCCCTCCGCCTGCCACTCCGGCGGCCGGTGGCGGGGAGGGGACTTTAGTGCCTTGTTTCCGGCTAGTAGATAGGTTGGGTTTTAGTTCTCGCAGGGATTG